GTTTGCCCGCGAGAGGCAGGGTCAGTCCAGACTCAGTCCCCCAGCCCCACCAGGAAGAGCCCGGAAGTGCCACTAAGCACCCCTAGCGTGCCCCCTAACGAACAGCCTGGAGGGCCAGGGAGGGCGGCCAGGCAACCTCACGGCCATAAAGCGAGCGCGGCTCCCAGGGCACAGAGGACTTCCTGTCCAGATACCAAAACCAGTTCTCCCGACTCTGTCTGCGCGGCTCAAGGCCACTGCTGAGCTCCACTGTTTGTCTTGGGCGCCTCAGAGGCTGCTGCACCCAGCGGGGCCAGGTCAGCACAGAGTCACACACGCCGGGCTCGGCCTGCGGCTCCGAGTCCCTCCTGAGGCCGGACGGTCCCCGATGCTCGCGGTGAGGGTCTCCGAGCAGAGGCAGCCCAATGCCCGGGACTCCGAGACAGCAAGTCTTGGAAGGGGCCGCGTGCCCTGGGCACCTCGAGCTGGAGACCCGGGTCCAGGTGTAGCCTGCTGGTCTGTGACAGGCACCAGCCCTGTGCAGTTCCTCTGGGCAGGGTGGGCAGCTGGGCGACCCTGGACGAAAGGGCCCTTCTCTGTGGTCAGACGACACTCCATCTGGCCGAAAAACAACTAACAGCACCATAATAAATAGGCCCAAGATTTTTAATTTCTTCTTTTTTGGGGGGGGGCACACCTGGCAAGCTCAGGAGCCATTCCTGGCCCAGGGACCATCTGGGCTGCCAGGGATCAAACCTGGGCCGGTTGCGTGCGAGGCAAGCGCCTTGCCCACTGTGCTATCGCTGCGGCCTGACTTTTTATGGCCTGCGTGTGTTTGTGCACGCAGAGTAATCAAAGCCCAGACCTTCCTGATAATGTGCCTGTCGTCCCGGAAACAGGCAGGGCTGGAGGTGAGGCACCTCGTCTGTGCTGTGGGATCCCAGCACCGGAAAATTCTCCAAAAGCTGTTTCCTAACCCATGTAAAGCAGCGAATGTGTCTACACGAACAATCGTTTTACTTGTCCGATCAATAACAAACATTTCTACCAGCTCTGGGAAGAGGTCGCTGAATTCTTTCTATTCTCCGTCATACGAAGTGGAGGCGGCTCAGACAATTACCATATTCTTTTCTGAGTTCAGCGATGCTTGCGTCATGGGTTGCTTTTGGGGGGTGGTGGGAGTTGGGGGCCACACCCCACAATGCTCTAGGAACGCGCCCCAGGCGGGCACGGCCTGGGCCTCGGGCTCCAGCAAGCAAAGCACGTTTGTGCTCCGGCCCGTGAGCAATTCCTCTGTCCCTGTTCAGCTTTCCCTGAGCTGGAACTTCAGTCTTTCCACTCTACTTTCCAAACTGATTTTCGTGTCGAACACGGAACTCTTCCTCAGAGGCCCTCACCAACCTGCAGAGGCTCCAGGCCGCAAACCTTGGCAGCTGCAATGATGCCCCAGGCGGAGTCGGCCGAGCACCTGAGTCTGGGGCAGAAGGAGGAGCCGAGAATTCTAGAGGGACGGGAAGCCAGCAGGCACCGTGGGCACAGGAGGCGGGGAAGGGTGGGGAGGGGGCGTGTCCCCAGGTGGCCCTGCCCTGAGCCCTGAAGGGCGAGCCGGGAGCGGAGTCAGCCATGGCCTGGCTGTGCCACCTCCGCAGGCAGCAGTGGCCGTCAGAGGGGTCCCCTGGCCTGGGAGGGGAGAGCACTGTGCTGCAGAGTGTGCACAGGGAGCAGAGTGTGCTGGGTGGCGGTACAGAGGGTGGGACTGAGAGGCCTGTACTACACTGCAACCTCTGTCCACTGGGTACCAGCGACAGGAGCAGGAGGCGGGCAGGGGTAAGGCGAGCAGGGGCAGGGTGGGCAGGGGTTAGATGAGCAGGGGCGAGGTGGGCAGGGGCGAGGTGAGAAGGGGCGAGGCCGGCAGGGGCGAGGCTGGCAGGGGTGAGGTGAGCAGGGGCAGGGTGGGGAGGGGTTAGATGAGCAGGAGCGAGGTGGGCAGGGGCGACGTAAGCAGGGGTGAGGTGAGAAGGGGCAAGGCTGGCAGGGGCGAGGCTGGCAGGGGTGAGGCGGGTAGGGGTGAGGTGAGCAGGGGTGAGGCAGGCGGGGGTGACTTAAGGGGCGGTGACTGGGCAGGGTTGTAGTGGGCAGGGGTGAGGCAAGCAGGGGTGAGGTGGGATGACCAGAAGATTCAAAACCTTGGGGCGGGAGCGACAGCACAGCGGGTAGGGTGTTTGCTTTGCTCATGGCCGAGCCGGGTTCGATCCCCAGCATCCCACAGGGTCCCCCGAGCACCGCCAGGAGTAATTCCTGAGTGCAGAGCCAGGAGTAACCTCTGAGCATCAACGGGTGTGACCCAAAAATGCTAGAAAAAAAAGATTCTAAACCCAGCCTAGGGCATCCTAGTATTTTTTGGCTTTTTTGCTTGTTTGGTTTTGGGCCCCACCCAGCAGTGCCCAAGGTCACTCCTGGCTCCACACTCAGCAATTACTCCTGGTGGGCTCAGAGGACCATTGGGGATGCCGGAGATTAGACCCGGGCCAAATGCCCTACCCGCCAGGCTATCGTTCAACCCTATTTTTGGGCTTTTGAAGTTAGAGAGGCCCCAAACGAAAACACCGGCTTGGGGACAAACAAGCCCGTGACCCTCAAATACCATCTTTTTTGCCCCCACCACACCTTCCGGTCCCCAGCCCCACCCCAGAGTCCACAACTGTGTGACTGCTGTGTGCCAGCCGTTGCAGCACCCTGCGTAGGGCTTATTTTTAAGCACCCGTCCGAGGCGCACAGGGGGCAGAAAGGGACGGGAGGGGCTTGCCAGGGCAAGTCCCCGGAGACGCCACCCCTCTGCCACGTGGCCTGACACTCATCTGCACGTTTCCAAAAGTGGACTCCAGACTCCAGTTATCCCGGTCCCCAGCAGGCCAGCGACGCGGCCCTCGCCAGAACGCTCCCCAGCAGGGCTCTGTGGGCTGCAGCTGTACCAGTCTCAGTCCCCCTGGTCCACAGAAAAGCCAAACACGGACGGCCCGGCCCGCTGACGGGCACGCCAGCCAGTGGATGCAGAGACCGTGACCCTGGGTCTGGGTTTTCCCCGACCTGACTGGAGAGAGGAGCAGGGCTGTGTGGCCGGCGTTTCTTGGAGACTCAGAGGGGTCATTCAGGAGGCCCTGGGCACTGTGCCGCTCGCGGTGGCTTTCTAAAAGCTGTGCTTTGCTCTCTGGGGCACAGCTGGCAGCTCCTCGGGTGACCCCAGGGCCATGGTGTGCGAGGGTCCGAAGGGCCTCAGCTGGCAAGACAGGTCCCAGTCCTGACCTCAGCCCTGAGCCTGGCCATCTGGGGACGGAGCTTGCTTCTACCAGGTTGCCTGACCTAGCCCTGGAGAGGTGGGAGACCTGTGCAGGTTTGGGGTCACTCCTGGTGGGGCTCAGGGGCCCAGTGGGGTGCCAGGGACCGGAGGCCGGCTCCTCCCGCCTCTGCCAGTCCACTGTATCACCCTGGAACCCGAGACAGATGGATGCCATGCGAGGGTGCTCTACAGGTGTGACTCAGAGTCTCCCGACCGGCACATCCCAGCACCCCAGCAGCCTTTGCAGGCAACCAGGGGCGTTGCCCATGCGGGCACGGCCACCACCTTCCCGGAACGGAGCCGTGCAGCCGTCTCGGTGCAATCGGTGACACCCAGCTCAGCCTCTCAACCCAAGTGACAAAGAGAAGCGCAAGGAGGGTGGGGCCACACGGGTGTCTCTGCAGAGCCGCACCGGAAGCTCCTGCCCACGGTGTCCTCCACGCGGACAGTCTCTGCCCTGTCCCGTCCTCCACGCGGACAGTCTCTGCCCTGTCCCTGTTCTCCCCACGACAGTCCCTGCCCCGTCCTTGTCCTCCCGGGGACAGTCCCTGCCTCGTCCCCGTCCCCCACGCGGACAGCCCCTGCCCGGTCCCTGTCGTCCACGGGGACAGTCCTTGTCTCGTCCCCATCCGCCGTGGGGACAGTCCCTGCCTCCTCTCCATCGTCCACGCGGACTGCCCTGCCTGGTCCCCGTCCTCCAGGCAGACAGCCCTGCCCGATCCCTTCCTCCATGGGGACAGTCCCTGCCCCGTCCCCCATCCGACACGGGCCGCCCCGCCCCGGTCCCGTCCCCCACGCGGTGAGCCCGTCCCGACCCGACCCCCACGCGGGCCGCCCTGCCCGCTCCTCGCGGCGGTGTCCACCCACGTCCTCGGCGGGGCCGCCGCCCAGGCCCGGCCCGGCCTCCGCCCGCTGCGCCGGCGCCTCGCCCGCGCCCGCGCCCCGGCCCCCGCGCCCCGCGCCCCGCGCCCCGCCCGTCCGGGCGGCGGGCGGACCGGCCGCCCCGCGCCCCGCGCCGGACACTCACCCGCGGGCCGGCGCGTCCCGCCGCGGCCTCCGCCGGCGCCCGCTCCGCCCGCTCCCGACGGCCCGCGGGCCGCCCGCCCGCGCGGCCCCGCCCCCGCCCCGCGGACGCGCCCCCGATTGGCCCGCCGACCCCGGGGGCGGGGCCGCAGCCCCGCGAGCGCCGATTGGCGGCCGGGAAGCGCCCCGCGAGCGCCGATTGGCGGCCGGCTCGGAAGGGGCGGGGCGCGCGGGCTCGAGGCGGCCGCCGATGGGCGGGGAGACCCTGCGGGAGGGCCCGGGAGCACGGGTGGGCGGGGGCCCAGGAGGCGGCGCGAAGGCGAGGGCGGCCCGTGGGTGCGCAGCTCGGCTCGGCCTCTCGGACGCGAGTCGCGAGGCCGGAGGGGAGCTGGGACCAGAGCCCCTGCAAACAACTCCACTTCCTACTCAGGTGCTGGCTTTATGCCGTGGACCACGTCCCCTCATTCCAGGCGCCAGTGCTTGCAGGATTCTGGGGGTGGGGGGCACACCCAGCTGAATGGGGTGCCAGGGGTCGAACCAGGGCCTGCCGCACTGCTCGGCAAGCCCACCACCCCCACACTCCCTCTCCAGCCCCAGGGTTTTAGTCTTTCCAGCATTTCTCACCCCTTCCTTTCCCTGATAAAGAACAAGCACTCACGTATTATCTAAACAATAGGACTTTATTGATAAAAGGTTAGTTTTCGTGAATACAAACTGCTGTGTAAAATTAAGTCTCAAGAATACATTTTTTTCCCTAGGGGGAGAGGTTCTGGGCCACACCTGGAGGTATTTGGGGATCAAACCAGCGCTTGGCTTAATTCCTGTCCACTCACTCTCAGAACACACCCCTATCGGTAAAGACGACCACTTAGAAAGAAAGAGCAGTTACCTGTCAGCAGGCAGAAGGGATCTGAAGCGCAGGGCACGGCCAGGACCCAGGCCAGGGCCCCAGCACAGCGCCACGCTCTCGTGCGTGGGACTCTGCAATGCGCCCAGACCGACACTCCGAAACGGCCAGCGCCGAGGGCGGCCATGCAGACTCCCACGGTCTCCCTTTCCTCCTGCCCAGGCCCAGAAAACCCCCCTTGCTCTGTGAGTGGACAGAAATGCCCTGGTGTGCGCCACAGGAATGCTTGATGGGAGGGCCCAGGGGGGAAGAGACCAGGGGTGGCCCCACGGGGACACCTGCCTCGGAGCACCGTATGCACGGAGATGGACGAGACGGACGCGGCCACGCGTGCCCGCTGCTCTCCGCCTCCCTCAGAGTCACCAGGACTCCAGAGCTCCCGGGAGCACCGAGGCCACAGGGCCCACGGCTGGTCTGGGAGGAGGGCCAGCACCGGATGCTGGTGTCACAGCAGGGGGGATGTCCCCACCCCGGATCACAGAGACGCTGTTAAAGTGCTGTCCAGTATGAAAATAGGTAAAGGCTGGTGTACCAACATCTCAACGGCGAGTCTTCGTTAAAAAGACTTTTTTAATCAGAGTAAAAGAGTGATGAGCTCGGTTATATATGAAAACCGGAGCCTTTGGATTCTCTCCTGAGAAGAGTATAAGCAGGAGCAGAGGAACTCTACAAGAGTGGTTTGTGGTAAGATGCTGCCCAGGGGATTTAAAAATAATGTAGTATCAGAATCTGGAAAAATCCTGAAATTCACCCTTGGTGTCTTTCAAAAAAGCTATCTAAGTGTAGACACATGTACCATAATTTTGTTTCATCTGGTAAACAACTGGGCAGGTGGATTCCTGGGGTGGGATTAGGGCGTCTAGTGCTGTGCTTGACCAAAGCTAGAGACCCCCACAGAGCTCGGCCTGGGGAGGGGACCCTGTGCTCGTCTTTCTTTACTGCTGTGTCCATGTCTCTACCATCAGGGAAATCTGAATGTTCTAGAAATAAATCAAGAGTGCTCCTCAATCACTAGTGTGGCCAGTCAAATCAAAGAAATCCAACATTAACTATATCTATATATATATGTATATACTAATACTGAGAATCAATTCTAGAATCAGTGACTAGTTTAGGTAGAAGAATGAAAAATTTACCTCACAAAATAAAAAGTACGACATGACAACAAAATACAAATGCTGTGAGTGCTGCGTGGGAATCAGCACATGACCGTGACAGACGCCCCTCAGGCACGGGGACTGAAATGTGGATGGGGGCCCCTCCGGGGGCTCATGAAACGCGCAGCTGTCGGACCCAGCCAGAACGTCTCCTCTCTGAAGAGTGTATCCTGGGGAAACAGAACACAACACGGTGTAATGGAAGCGACACCTGCCGTCTGGTCACTAATTCTCAGTATTATGAAAGGAGCAAAATGAGGCTCTGGGAAAGCAGGGTACAGAAAACAAAAAAAAGCCAACGGAAATAGGAACTCAGCTTGTGTACTTACGTGGAATTCTCATTATTCCACATGGAAGTTTTAAAAAGAGGAGAAGCAGAATCAGAGAGAAGCCACTGTCCACCATGCTCGGCTCCAGTGGGCCTCCTCCCTCCACCCCCCGAGGCAGGCACCGGGCCTGGCCTGGAGAGGCCACTGGAAGTCCTGCCCCCAGCTAGCTCACGACCGCAGGCATGTGTCTAACAGCCTCGCGTGGGCACCAGCCTCCCTCCGGTCTGGTCTGATGGGAGGCGCCAGCATGACTCTCCAGGGACCAGGCGCTGCAAAGTGTCTGCGTGTCTGCGGGCTGCCCCCAAGGCTGAGGCCACCTGCCCCGTGGTGGCGGTGAAGGCTGAGAGGATTCCAGCCTCCTGTCCCTGACATGCTCACGCTCCCTTCCAGCCAGCAGGCCCGCACTGGCCCAGCCCCAGGAAACTTCCCCCCGCCTGACCTTCCTGCCTGACCTTCCTCTGGAGAAGGAAGAGGGAGATGGACACTGGCCGCTCGGCACTCCTGGTCATGGTGCTGACACCACGGTGGGGAGTGGAGACGTGGCCCTCACCTGCTCTGCACAGCCGTCTCAGCACACCTCAGTACGGCCTTTCTCTTGCCGGCAGTGCTCAGGGTGACCATGGTGCCAGGCGTCAAACCCAGGGCCTCACGCGTGTGGCCTCCCCCGTCCTAACAAGAGGACTGGCTTGCTGGCTAAGAGGCATCCAACAGCTGGTCGGCTTGGCCCTCGTGGGGGAAGTGCTCCCGCCCTTCCTCTGCTGAGCAGCTGAGCACAGGGTCCGGGGACAGAGCGGGCTGTGTTACCTTACACGTGGTGGCCGCTGTGAGGCCCGCTGTCGCCGTCGCCCCCCTGCATCTGCAGCTGCATCTGCGCCTGCATCCGCGCGATCATCTCCTGCATGCGGCGGAGCTGTGGGCACAGGTGGGGACAGGCTGCGGCCACAACGCCTTCCGGTCGCTCCCCAGGAGCCCAGGCCTGAGCCTCTGCCTTCCTAAGGACCACCAGGAGCAGGGAACCAGGGAGCACAGGAAGGGCCAGCAGACCACGCCCTTCGCCAGAGGGGAGGCGTGGAGGGGCGGGCGGGGCTGGGAGGCTGGGCCCAGCTCCTCTGGAAGGCAGGAGGCCTCCCCAGCCTGGCCGTGTCTGCCCTACGTGTCTGCCTCCATTTCTCGGTGTTCACAAACCCCCGCCCCCCTGTCCAGACCTGACCGAGTATGGGATGGATGCCAGCGACAGAGGGAGACCCCCGGGAGGACATGGCCCATTCCCAGGCACATCTCCTGTCAGCCTCCAAGGCCGCAGCACCCAGGCAACCCCCGTCTGCTCGAGGAGGCCCACTCCCGGTGTCTGAGGTTCTAGAAAGACCTCCTCCAACAGCTCTCTGCAGGAACACGCACGGCCGACACCGTCAAACTGGGATCTGGGCTGCGGGGTCCCCTGCCTCACGCGTGACCTCGGCTAGTCCGAGCAGGTCTTCAACCAAACACTGTCAACCCTCTGACTTCGCAACTCTGTTAATGGTTGGGAACAGCAGTTTCTTTCCTAGTAGTTTCTAACAGAAATCATCATAGACGGAAATCATAAAACACGGATCTTTTGGCATTTTACGATTACCAGTGACATTCTGATTCTACGCTAAGCTACTCCTGGTGATCAGAGAAGCTGAGAACAGCAGCAGAGAGATCCCCTCTGTGCGACAGGGCGCACCTCAAACAACGCACAGGGAGGAAGACGCAACGACAGCCTCTGTGAACACAGGTGAGAGACGCCACAAGTCTGATCAGCACTTTCCTGCTTACCTCAGCTTCCTTTTCCAGCAAGATCTGGTCTTTATTCATGTCCTCGTTTTCGACTTTCCTAAGAATGGAAAGAGATTTCAATTATAACACTGCAACCGCGTAGACAGATATTTCTGAACTAGGTAATCCAAGTGAGATTTCACCGTAAACTTCTAAGAATGGGGGGCTGGAGCAATAGTACAGCGGGTTGGGTGTTTGCCTTGCACGCGGCCGACCTGGGTCCGATTCCCGGCATCCCATATGGTCCCCCGAGCACTGCCAGGAGTAATTCCTGAGTGCATGAACCAGGAGTAACCCCTGTGCATCACTGGATATGACCCAAAAAGAAAAAAAAATCCGGGGCTGGAGAGATAGCACAGCGGGTGGGGCATTTGCCTTGCATGTGGTCGATCCGGGTTCGATTCCCAGCATCCCATATGTTCCCCTGAGCACCACCAGGAGTGACTCCTGAGTGCAGAGCCAGGAGCAACCCCTGTATATCGCCAGGTGTGACCCAAAAAGCAAAAAAAAAAAATAAAACCTTCTAAGAATGATATTTCAATTAAGAATTGCATATATTAGGGGCTGGAGTGATAGTACAGTAGGGAGGGCATTTGCCTTGCACGCAGATTCGAATCAACCCAGGTTCAATTCCCAGTATCCCATATGGTCCCCCAACCACCGCCAGGAGTAATTCCTGAGTGCAAAGCCAGGAGAAACCTGTGTGCATCGCCGGGTGTGACCCAAAAAGCAAAAAAGAAAAGGACGAACTGCATACATTAACCGTTTTCCCTGATAATGACATAAGAAAGGCAAGAACGATGGGAGAGTGGGAGGGATCAGAAGGAATGGCGTTCAGGTGCCTGCCTGATGCAGAGAAGGGTCAGCTCCGTGGTTCCACATACTCCTGAAACACAGCTGAGAGCAACCCCTGGCACCAAGGAGTGGAGGCCTCGCATTAAGAAAGGGAACAGGAAGAGAAAAAGGCAGACAAAAAGCCAGACAGATAGCAGGCGATAAGGCACCTGCCTTGCCGTGGCTGGTCTTGGTTGGCGCCGGCGACTGTATGCACCCCACCCCCCGCCCCCCAGCACTGCTAGGAAGGACCCGGTATCACTGGGTGTGGTGCCCCCTGATACCACCCCAACCCGTCCCCCGCCCCAACTCTGCAAACAAAGGAAAAAGAAAGAAAAGGAAACAGAAAATTCCAAAGATCTCTGCTTCTGGCGGGGAGGGGGGAGGCGGAGTCGCTGGGCACTGTCCCGGCCGAGCCTGGCCAACAGGGCTGAGGCTCCAGGCTTGGCGAGCGGCACGGAGCAGCTGCACCTCCCAGTGCCGGGGCCCCACACCACACTCCGTGATGACCAGGAGTGCCGAGAGGGGCTCAGGTCCCCTCGTCTAGGAGACCCCTGGCTTGCCGAGGTTCAGGGTCCCACCTGCTGTGCTCCAGAGTCGCTCCACTGGCGCTGGGGCTGACCCCAGCCCCCTGGTGCACAGCCTGAGCTCACCCCCAAGGCCCAAAAGAGGTTTTCCTTTCCTAGGCTGGGCCAGGGCAGTTTTGTCTAACAACACACACGAACTGGACACTGCCATGACCCCAGGGGCCCATGTGCACTAACAGGGGAGTCAGGGACCAGGACCACAGAGGCCCGGTGAGCTGTACCCCAGAAGCCCCCAGCAGACACTGTCGTCCCCTGATTGCTGGGGCTTCTCATCAGGGATGTGCCCCTGTCAGCTGGGCACGGGGCCGGGCTCAGCTCCCAGGGCTGTGGCATGTCCCGGCCGCACACCTGGCTTCTCAGAGCCACTGGGCCCAATCCTGCTGCACCCACACTGCCGAGGTGGGAGAAACAGCAAACCCAATCCAGTCCAACGGCCCAGAATCTACTGGGCCGAGGAGAGGGAAGGAGTGTGGCCAGCGCTGCAGTCCCCGGGAGTGGACAGATCCCCTGACCGGCTCCCAGTCCGACAGCCACACCCCCCAGCAAACCAGGTGACGGTCCCCAGGGTCAAGGGCCCCACGGGGTGACTTGGGGAAGGGCGCCTGGGGCCACCACCTGCCGCCTCTCTTCAGTCTCTCGGAGCGGAAGTTTTCATAGTGAAGGTCCTGGGTCACCTCTTGGAGATCCTGCATGTGGGTGCTGAAAGAGAATGTTCGAAACATGTCACTGGCGGGGAAGGGACCAGGAAGGAAGGACACGAAAGCCACCAAGAAGGAAGCCCCCACTTCGTATCTGCACCCGGTGCAGCATCCTGGAGCTTCCGGTTTTCAGCGATGTGGCACTGAGAGGTGCACACCCCACCCCAGCCTACATGGCCCCCTGCCGGCCCCCACGGCTCCCATCTCTGCGTGCCGCAGTCTCCAAGGAGCGACATTTCAGGAGGAGCAGGAATGCACGTGCTCTGCTGAGCTCACAGGTATGGGCCGTGGCAGGGGTCGATCATTAAAGACCCAGAGTCAGGAATGAGCAAAGACACATGTTCCGTTTCCTCGGAACCCAGGGAGGGACCGAGTCCACAGCAAAGGGCACATAAGGACAGTGACCACCGCCGTGGCCGACCAGAGAGGCCCGCACACTGTATTTTTTATTTTGGGGCCACACCTGGTGGTACTAAGAGCTTACTCCTGGTTCTGTGCTCAAGGATCACTCCTGGAAGGCTGGGGGGGCCTTTTGGGGTGCCGCGGAGGGAACCCAGGTAGGCCGTGTGCAAGGCAAGTGCCCTCCCCGCTGGGCTCTTGCTCCAACCCTCGAGGCTGAGCATTTTCATGTCGGTGTGGTGACGGAATTCTCCTGAACAACTGTGTTCGTGTTATGAAAACTTGCTAAGCTAGGAAGACAGCCATTTTGCTATTTCAATTGTCATTTAAAACAGATGACGCAGAATCACTCTCAGTTGAAGCACAGAATCACTCTTCAGTGCATCCCGTTCAGCTTCTGCCATGAGATCCCCACAGGGGCTGGAGGGGCTGGCGTTGTCAGACACGTGGGCACGTTCAGTTTAGGCCCAGGCTACTCTCAGTGACCACGCTGCACCAGAGGGGGCAGAGCAGGCCGAGAGGAGCCGGGGAGAGGCGGGAGCCCAGAGCAGCCCGGGGAGAGGCGGGAGCCCAGAGCAGGCCGAGAGCAGCCGGGGAGAGGCGGGAGCCCAGAGCAGGCTGAGAGGAGCCGGGGAGAGGCGGGAGCCCAGAGCAGGCCGAGAGCAGCCCGGGGAGAGGCGGGAGCCCAGAGCAGCCCGAGAGCAGCCGGGGGAGAGGCGGGAGCCCAGAGCAGCCCGAGAGCAGCCGGGGGAGAGGCGGGAGCCCAGAGCAGCCCGAGAGCAGCCGGGGGAGAGGCGGGAGCCCAGAGCAGCCCGAGAGCAGCCGGGGGAGAGGCGGGAGCCCAGAGCAGCCCGAGAGCAGCCGGGGGAGAGGCGGGAGCCCAGAGCAGCCCGAGAGCAGCCGGGGGAGAGGCGGGAGCCCAGAGCAGCCCGAGAGCAGCCGGGGGAGAGGCGGGAGCCCAGAGCAGCCCGAGAGCAGCCGGGGAGAGGCGGGAGCCCAGAGCAGGCCGAGAGCAGCCGGGGAGAGGCGGGAGCCCAGAGCAGGCCGAGAGGAGCCGGGGAGAGGCGGGAGCCCAGAGCAGGCCGAGAGCAGCCGGGGAGAGGCGGGAGCCCAGAGCAGGCCGAGAGGAGCCGGGGAGAGGCGGGAGCCCAGAGCAGGCCGAGAGCAGCCGGGGAGAGGCGGGAGCCCAGAGCAGGCCGAGAGGAGCCGGGGAGAGGCGGGAGCCCAGAGCAGGCCGAGAGCAGCCGGGGAGAGGCGGGAGCCCAGAGCAGGCCGAGAGGAGCCGGGGAGAGGCGGGAGCCCAGAGCAGGCCGAGAGCAGCCGGGGAGAGGCGGGAGCCCAGAGCAGGCCGAGAGGAGCCGGGGAGAGGCGGGAGCCCAGAGCAGGCCGAGAGCAGCCGGGGAGAGGCGGGAGCCCAGAGCAGGCCGAGAGCAGCCCGGGAGAGGCGGGAGCCCAGAGCAGCCCGAGAGCAGCCCGGGGAGAGGCGGGAGCCCAGAGCAGGCCGAGAGCAGCCCGGGGAGAGGCGGGAGCCCAGAGCAGCCCGAGAGCAGCCCGAGAGCAGCCCGGGGAGAGGCGGGAGCCCAGAGCAGCCCGAGAGCAGCCCGGGGAGAGGCGGGAGCCCAGAGCAGGCCGAGAGCAGCCGGGGAGAGGCGGGAGCCCAGAGCAGGCCGAGAGCAGCCGGGGAGAGGCGGGAGCCCAGAGCAGGCCGAGAGCAGCCGGGGGAGAGGCGGGAGCCCAGAGCAGGCCGAGAGCAGCCGGGGAGAGGCGGGAGCCCAGAGCAGGCCGAGAGCAGCCCGGGAGAGGTAGGGGCCCAGGCTTCACGGAGGGCTCTTACATGAGCATCGTCCTCAGCTTCAGAAAGTCGTTGTGCTCAGGGTTCTCCACCTCCACGACGCCCCACGGGTAGAGGCGGCCTCGGACCTTCTTGCCTTTGGCTTCAATCAGCTGATTGGACCCGACAACAGAGAATGGGATGCTGGCCTGGGGAGAGACACGAGGAGGACGGGCTTCCATGGGGAACCCCGGGGCACTGCAGGGACGAGGCAGGTGCTGGCACACGGAAAGCCAGCGGAGGAAACGGTGCATACGGGATAAGCGGCATGGAACACTTCAAGTCTGGGAATGCTTTCATTTCTGGCGGTACGAGGAATTGAACCCAGGGCCCCGTACGAGCAAGGCAAGCACTCCGCCTCCTAGCTCAGCGGAATAGATCGTTAAGGCTCAAGTAAAAGCAAAGTCAAAATATATCTTCAGCACAAACACATCTATAACCAAACTCACCGATCACCTTTCGGGTGAGGACTCCCAGAATTCTGCCCTTCGCAAACCTTCCGATTTGGGGGGGGGGGTGGGTTGAACCACACCCGGCGGGACTCAGAGCCACATGGGTGCTCGGGATGGAAAGCGGGTCAGTCATGGGCAAGGCGAGTGCCCTCCCCGCTGCCTGATCGCTCTGGCCCCCAACTAAGGACAACGGGACCCGGCGGTAAACTCACGCTGAGCGCTCGAGTTCGTACCTTGAGAAGTCTCGTCTGCTCTTTAAAATCTTCGTCTTCATCGGATTCTGCATCAGGTAAGTGATAGATTTTGATGTTGTGCTCTTCAATCTCATCCAGAATCTGGAAGGACAAACCAAATGCAGAAGCACTTCAGTCAAGTTGTCAGCACCGTATCAGAATCATCCAAACACCAACAACTATTAGAATCACTTTCAGACAGCTTATACACTCCATTTCCTTTCCTGGCTTCTCAGGGCTTATTTGTGGTTCTGCTGGGGAACCATCACGCAGTGCCCAGAGTCAGAGCTGGGGCTGGCAGGGCCTAAGGCGAGAGCCTTCATCCCTGTCCTAGCTCTCCGGCCCCCGCACTGCGTTTCTGTTTTGTTTTTGCTCGGGGATCACTCCTGTGACCTCAGGGGACCCTAGGTGGTGCCAGGAATCGAGCCCAGGTTGGCCACAGACAGAGCAAGTGCTCTCATTATGAGAAAGAGTGCCGCAAGGAGCCCCTACAACAGCCTTGGGGAACCCGCAGGAGCGCTGCCTCCAGCACAGGCATGCGGGGGCCTAAGGAGCAGAGGGGGGGGGGGCCTGGGGAAAGATTTCTGTCCAAGGCAAGGAGGGGACAGCACAAGAAGCCTGGAGGCTGCAAGTCAGCTGCGAGAAGAGCAGCTGAGGGAGACAGGGCAGGCGGGGGTCTCCCTGGAGAGACACGGGCTGGGCAGGGTTCCACATAGATGTGGAGGGAGAGAGGATGGGGGGGACCCATGTGGAGGGCCAAGAGCACTGGCGGACAGCAGAGTGGCCTGGGCCGGGGCTTTCCCCTGGCTGAGACCCCAGGCCCGGGCAGTTCCTGGCTCTGCCCACGCTCAAAGCAAAGCCAGCACCCACAGGGGGGCCCAGTCCCCACTCCCAGACAGATTCTGGGCAATGGTTTTAGCCACAGCCGGGGGTATTGAGAGCTTGCCCCTGCCCCATGCTCAGAGGTCACTCCTGGTGGGATCTGGGGGATGCGGGCAGTGCCACATGCGAGAGTTAGAGATGGACTTAAATGACTCTTTAAGCACTGCCACCTCCGCCCTGGCCCTCCCCGCCAGAAGCTGAAGCTCCTTGAGGAGGCTCTCTCCTGACACCTCAGGGTCTCTGAGCACCCGGGCACGAGCAGCCCCTAAGCACTACTGAGAGCGGGCCAGAACACTGTCGAGAGTGTGTTCAGTTCGGGAGCCATGTTGGGGTCTCAGCAGCCAACCTAAGACTTTGATCAATCCCCTGCCCCTAAAGCAAGAGCCGGCCCTTCCACAGGGCCCAGGGGCTTGCTCCAGCACTCCACACGTGGGCTCTCTGGTGGAGGATGAGGGAGGCAACAGTTACCACCTGCCAGAGCTGATGCACCGGGCCCTGAGAGCGGAGGTGTGAGTCACTGACTAACACCCGCGCAGAGCCCATCGAGGTAAATGTGATACACGTGGATTGTCCCTGAAACATCTGTATAAAAACCCCGTGTGGAGCTAATAAATGGACTGCTGATTGACCACCAGTTCCCCCCCTTCCGCGGGGTTCTCTGAGGCGGCAGGAGTCCACAGTGCGCGGAGGGAGGGCCACGACAGGGGCTTCTCTCCTGCCCCCTCCCTGCCCTAGAGGGAGTAAGTCTGGTGACCAGGGGATCGTACTCCAGTGCGCCGGGGTCGACTGGCCAAGACCCCGACAGAGCCAGAGTGGCAGCACAGTAGTCAAGGTGCCTGCCTGGCACATGGCCAACCTGGGTTCGATCCCCGGAACAACATACAGATTCCTGAGCGCCGCCGGGTGTGGTCCCCAAACCGCAAGAGCGCTATTAGGGTTCAGTGGGTACGACCGTGCCATGGCAGGTGCCACGACACTCCCACAGGCAGCTCTGAGCACCCACGCCAGGCCAGGTCCAGACCCTGGGGACACACAGACAAGCAGAGCGGAGACCCTGGCTGGGATGCCCAGAGACACTGAGAAACCGTGTGGGCCGGCAGAGCAGGCGCCTCGGCGGGCACGAGGCTGCTGAGCACAACAGACCCAGTCTCCGCCTGAGGGGACGAGGGCACACACAGACCGCGCTGGAACGGCAGTGGCAGCTGACGACTGCTTCTGTGGCTTTCAAGAGTCCTGCTGACCACGTCAGCACGTCAGTCTAGACTTCAGGAGCAAACCGAAGCGAGTCGATAGAGAACAGCCGGAGCAAACGCACGGTGGCAAGGGCATCTGCCTGGCGTGCGGCGGGCCCGGGTTAGCTTCCCCGGCATCCCACACGGTCCTCCGAGCACCGCCAGGCGTGCCCTCAAACAAAATCCGCGAACAGAGGAGAGCCAGCCAGCTTGAAGAGGTGGAGCAAGAGACAGCAGGGGAGCGAGACTGCCAGGCCGTTCCACGGTGTGTCCCCACCCCAGGCCCGAGGAATGGGAGCACCCTCCCGCAAGCCCACGGGGCCCAGTCCCGCATTCCTGCAGGCTAAGGAGCTGACCGCAAGCAGCTTCCAGAGCCCATCAAAAGGGCTGCAGCCCTCAGGGGCACAGCCCCTGGAAGGCCGGCGTCAGCAGCCCCGGCGGGCACATGCACACAGACCAAGGGGCACCGTCCCACTGACCCTCTTCTTCAGGCGCTCCCGCTCCTTCAGCGTGAGGGTGTCAGCCTTGGCGATGACGGGCACGATGTTCACCTTGTTGTGAATCGCCTTCATGAAGGCCACGTCCAGGGGCTTCAATCTGAAGGAACCAGAGAGGGTCAAGAGCGGCTGGGCTCGGGGGCACGCCCAGCCCTGCTCCCAGGCTCGGGGGTGGGGGGAAGACCCAGCCCTGCTCCCAGGCTCGGGGGCACGCCCAGCTCCACGCCCACCCACGCTCACCCGTGTCCGAAGGGCGAGATGAAGTAGAAGCAGCAGTGCACCCTGTTGTCGATGATGTGCCGGCGGTTCAGGCCGCTCTCGTCGTGCAGGTACCGTTCGAACTGCTCGTCAATGTAGGAGATGATGGTCTTGAAACTAGAAGAGCACAGCAGTGAGCACCGGGAGCACGGGCAGGCAGGCAGGCCGGACGCCAGGGACTGAGCGCATGTCTGCCCCTACGCAGGACGCGTAAGACGGGCAGCTCGTCTGGGACGGAATGACACAGACCCCAGCCTCGGTGAGACACTGAGAACATGTGGGCACTGTGTCAGCCCCTCGGTGCCAAGGGTCCGATATGAGCCAATCTGAGGAGTGGCTGGGCAGGGAGTTTCCCGGAGCGACCTGACAGGGGCTGGCTCAGAGCTCAGACCCCACTGGACTGTGCTTCCAGAATAAATACCCATCCTGGCCAGAGCCATAATGCAGTGGAGGGCACTGCCCTGTATGTGGCCATCCTGGGTTCGGGCCCCAGAACCCCGTATGGTTCCCAGACCCCGCCAGAAGTGCTCCCTGAGCACAGAGCAGGAGCACACCCTGAGGACTGACGGGCACGGTACCAAACCAAGGAGAGCGGCCCGTTCTCCAGGAAAGCCGATGCCCCTGGCTCCTCTCTCATCAGCATCACCCAAAACCCGGTGGCCCGCCTGAACTAGGAGGAGAGCGGCAGGTGCCCCCCGGGCACGTACCAGTCTCTGCAGTTGATGGCGTCCCCGTAGCCAGGCGTGTCCACCACAGTCAGGCGCAGCTTCACCCCGCGCTCTTCAATCTCCACAGTCGAAGCCTCAATCTGGACGGTTCTCTCGATCTTCTCTGTAAGAGCAACGGCGTCAGTAAGGGAGGGATCTCTCAACCAGTTCACGGAGTGAAGCGATGACTGAGTTCAGCACCTCTCTGAGGAAGTCTCGGAACTCAAGGTCTATGCCAAACCAGCTCCCGAGTCAGCAACAGGAAGCCCGACGGTGGGGGGAAAGGCTGCTGGCGAAGGGGAGTCACTGCCCATCAGGACCCACGCTGGGCGCCCAGGACAGCAACCCCACTGCTCCCCTGGGAGCAAACACCCGGGGCTTTCCCATCAGACCTCAGCTCGGAGGAGACCCTGGACATTTGACAGAAACAGCAAGCCTGGGGCGGGCGAACCCAGGCCCTGGTGAGAGTCGCACGGCCTCAGCAAGGTCCCTGCGCTTAAACCCCACGGCCAGGGACGGGAAACGGGTGCCAGCCCTTCCGCGCAGGAACACAGACCTGCATTTTGGGGAGCAGAGGGGCCCGTACCTGCGGCTCCTGGGATGATCCTTTCCGGGTAGAGATCGGTCAGGAACAGGCTGTTAATCAGAGTGGATTTTCCCAGGCCAGATTCACCTGGAAGTGGAAACGAACATGGTCCCACCACGCCTGAGCTCACGAGCAGTCTCGCCTGCACACGGCTGCAAGGTGGCCGCTGCTCATGGTACTGGTCAGTGCGGGCTGCATCGGAAGAGCCCACCAGCCCCTACCCACGGTACTCTCTTCCCCCGCTTTTCTTTAAACCGGCTTTTCTTCCGGAGGTCAGACTCACACGCTCCTCAGTCCGCTCACTGAGACCCACAGGGATGGCTGGAGCTAGCTCGGGGGACCGGCACCACAAGAATTTCAAGTGACCACTCAATTCTAACTGATCATAGTAGTAACTTTTGAACTCCTGTAAGAACTGCTACTGTTTCACGCACGCTCATTAGTTATCTGTCACTGCATAGCAGAATACTGAGGCTTTTTACCAATATGGAAATGATTATCTCCGTCTTTTTTCATTTGCGAGCCACACCCCAGGAACTCTGGGCCTGCTCCAGGCTCAGTGCTCTGACGATGCAGTGCTGGGGTTGCGCCCAGGGCCGCACACACAAGGCAGTGCTCGCCCCCTCCAGGCCTGTCTTAGGGGCTTCCGGGTCAGGAGTCCGGGGGGACTGAGGTGGGAGGCGATGGCTGCTGTATTGCGCACGTGTCAGCCAGGACAGCAGCCAGCAGAGGCTGAACTGGGGCTGGCAGATGCTTCGTTCTAGGTTTGGGGGCACAGCTGGCAGCGCCTGGATGACCCTTAGTCTGATTCCCCTCCGCCTTGTCCCGTGTCTGGTCCCCAGGGACGTTCCCGACACTGGCAAGTCACAGCATCCTGCCAACAGCGACACAGCGCTGGCATTCCCACAGTGAGTCCAGGGGAGGATAATCATAAACCACAGAGACCAGCCTCATTTCTGCAACGTCCTCGCTGGGGAGAGGGTCAGGAACACCAGAGCACCCAAGTATCCACGGGGCCACAACAGGCAACAGCTAAGGTACACATCTATCGGAAGATTTTACTTCTTACGCAAAATTTCTTCTTCCCAAATCCACATTATCTGATTCTGCTGCCCCAAGAAGATTCCCCCATGCCAAGGCCGTGCTGTCACGCACCCTGGCAGGGGTGGAGCACCAAGCCGAGTCCTTACCAACCACCATCAGTGTGAACTCGAAGCCTTTCTTCACAGACTTCCGGTGAACCTGATTGGGAAGGTTTGCAAATCCAACATAGCCAGGAGTCTCTGGATTTACAAACTGAGCTGGTTGTTGCTACAAAAAAAAAAAAAAATTAGTGGCTCTCAGAACAAAATCAAGACTGTGACCACTAGACCTATTATTAGTTCTCACAAATATAAAGTATGAACTTAAAACCCATTCAATACAATTCCATGGCTACAAAATAACCTAAAATTGCATCTGTTTATCAATACATAAAACATACGTGCTCATTAATTCATCTGAGTACAACTACTACGGAACTGAGTAAAATCAAACTCATAAAGTGAATGACACAACTGACAACAGTTTTATTCAACAAATTTTACTAAAAACAGCTTCCAAAAGCAAATCCTTCAGGGCATTAAGAATTATTTATGATCATTCATTAATCTTGCTATATTCCCACTCCGTCATGCTCGGCTCTTGTAAGGGAATGATAGCCAATATAGTGGCAGGATGTTGCTGGCAGAGCTTCAAAGACCAAGAGCTGGGAAACTAGGAATGGGAGAGCGATCTCAGCTGTTGGTACTGAACTGTCAATAGACGTCAACAGAGAAGAAAGACAAATGAAATAAACCAAGTTCTGTAAAACTTGTAAGGTCTGAATATGACAGGAAAAAAAAAACTGAAAGTAAATTAACTGGGCCAGAGAGAGAGTATAGAGGTAGAACGTTAGCCTTGGACTGGGCAACCCAGATCTGATCCCTAAGCACAAAGCCAGGAGTAAGTCCTGAGCATCGCTGGCTGTGAATCCCCACCAAAAGTCAAAATACAGATAAGCTGCTTTCTTTCCAAAAATGTTCTGCAGATGTAGGCACGTGTGCCCATACACATATAAAAGACATCTTGACAAAACGTTACAGTGGTTATGTCCGGCTGATGAAATTACAGCTCTTGGTTCAATTACTGCTGCTTATTCACATTCTAAGCTAGCGTCTATATAAAAAAGCGTAAGCTAGTTCAATGATAACGCGCCGGATAATAACAAACATCCAAAGACTCAGAAAAAACCTTGGGGCGGAACCACAAGTTCTGCTGTGCTCAGCTTTCAAGACCTGATTCACTTCATGACTCAGGACTGCTTGGCCACAGCAAAATGAGGTAACTGCTCACACCTACGAGTCCCATCAATGGGGCTGGAGCGATAGCAAGCAAGTCGAGTGTTGGCCTTGCACGTAGCCAACCCGGGTTCGATCCCCAGCATCCCATATGGTCCCCTGAGCACTGCCAGGAGTAACCCCTGAGCATTGCCGGGTGTGACCCAAAAAGGGGGAAAAAAAAAGAGTCCCATCAAAAAGCAAGTGCCACGGGCTTTGCTCCCACGCCCCTGTCCCCTCATACGCAGCTCTGGCTCATCTCCTCTTTCCTTGCTTGCTGCTTCCACGCCAGAGAAGTCCATGTTCTCTCTCAAACAGGCAGACTTCTCCCTTTCCCTCCCCTCACATCTTTCTAAGTAAGTTTCAACACAAAATGTTCTTGCTTCACAAACACAAAAAGTAAGTACTGCAATTTTAAATTATCAATTGATTTTTCTGCTGGGAACGAATGCCCAGAGAGGCTAACTGGATGGTCACTGACAGAAGCTTAGAAACGGGAAGTGGAAAATCTGAGAAAAGACAAAGCTCTTAAGATGACAGATTGGAGCCCTCTCTGAAGCCATCATATGGGGTCAGAGCGACAGTGGGGTGGGGAAGGCGTTTGCCTTGTATACGTGGCCGACCTGGGTTCGATCCCTGACATCCATAAGGCCCCTCAAGCACCACCAGGAGTAATTCCTGAGTGCAGAACCAGGAATAACCCCTGAGCATCACCAGGTTTGAGCCCCCCCCCCAAACAAAACAAAACAAAAAACCCACCCAAAACCATCGGATGCACTAAAATTAATGAGTCTTATCAATCTTGACTATAAACAACATGAAAATATAAAGCAGTTTCTCTGTATGCTTTGGGCACATGAAGAAGTAGGGTCTCGTACCTTGGACATCTTCAGTGAGGTGTCGTCAATCTGTCAAACACACGGCCCGGGGTTAGCAGGAGCTGGCGGTGAAAGGCACAGCTGGCATCCACACACTGCACAGAAAGGACGGGATTGTCACTGCTCACACAGAAATCGCAAGGGGAAGTCGAAGGGACTAAGTTCAACGTATGATGCATAGATTCCACCCTGCACCGTTACAAAGCATTTCCAGGAGGGTTCCCACCGCAGCCTCTCACTGCCCCGAGGGCGGCCTAGAAGTGGAGGGCCGGGTCCTGGATCCCCAAAGCCAAATGAACCTCTAGTTAGAAACACTAACCCAGAGTCATAGTAAGCTGGGAGGGCACTTGCCTTGCATGAGGGTTCAATCCCCAGCCTCCCATATGGTCCCCTGAGCACCGCCAGGAATGATTCCTGAGTGGAGAGCCAGGTGTGACCCAAAAAGCCAAAAAAAAGAAAAAAAGGAATGCAATGAAACTTATTAAGAAACTAAAAATAAATTCAATGTATATAAACAACTGCAGCAAATACATATAGCAAAGGTGAAGCTGATAGAGATACACCACAATAACTTTCAGAAGCAGGCAAGTTTAGTAAAAACAGTATGAGAAAGGGCAGAAAGACTAGTAACTGGCAAATCTGACTTAAATATAATCAAGAATCAGAAAGCATAACCTATTACTGTGAGGAGAATCTAAACAAATATTAAGAAATATTATAGTTCTCGAATCATCGGTAAAGATGGAGCGAAAAAAGGGATAGCTATTTCATTTATCTCAAACATTCTTGGCTAACCAGCTCATCAAAGACACCAGCAAAAGGAAAATCACAAGAACGCCAAATAAAGTAGGGGAAAGCAGCAGCAGACTCTTGAGAATGCGAAAGTTTGGGAGTAGAGAGATCATACAGCGGGTAGGTGACCTGCCTCGCCCGTGGCCAACCGGGCTGACCCCCAGATGGGTCCCCCCCGTGCAGAGCCAGGAGGAACCCTGCGCATCACTGGGTGTGGCCCAAAAACCAAGAAAGGAATCTGAAATTTGTTAACAAGTTCTCTTCTTTGTTCTTGTGGGTCACCTGGGCAATGCTCAGGGCTTCCTCCCGACTGCGCTGAGGGAGTGCATGGAGTGGAGACCACTCCGGTCCTGTGGCAAGCAATTTCACTATTAAAGCGGGGTGGGGGGGTCTAATTTTTCACAATATTAAGATATGAACAAAATAACTCAAAGGAACAATAGAAAAAAATCTTAAGATAAAGAAAAGTAGGTAGGGGCTGGAGTGACAGCACAGCGGGTAGGGCATTTGCCTTGCACGCGAGGGACCCAGGTTTGATTCCCAGCATCCCATAGGGTCCCCTGAGCACCACCAGGAGTAATTCCTGAGTGCAGAGCCAGCAGTAACCCCTGAGCATCGCTGGTTGTGACCCAAAAAGCAAAAAAAGAAAAGTAGGTAAATTCCAAACTTGCTTATTTGAAACAAGTTCCTCTCAAATCCCATTAAGGAAGAAACAGCAAACACATGTAAAACATGGCTACAAATTAGAAAGCCTGGCAAAGATGGCCTTCCCAGGCATGGCCAAAGACAAAATGGAGCCCAGAACCATGCCACCAGACTAAGAAACAGACGAAATAGTTGAATACAAACACATCGGAAAAGGAGGCAGGACCAAGACCAAAAAGAATGGGGTGGGGGGAGATGAAGGGGGGGTGGATTCATCCACCCTCCAAACATAACCCTAAAGTCACTCAGAAAAAAAGAGAAAGCATCCTTTTTTTGGAGACAGAACAACTTTAGTAACAAAGCCAGACGGAAATCTAAGAAAATTAGCTACCTGTAGACCAACCTCATGAATATAAATGCAAAGACCTGGGCCATGGAGACAGCAGAGCAAGGAGGATGCTGGCCTCGTAAGCAGCCAACGGAGGTTGAATTCCAAGCATCCCATATGGTCCTCGAGCCTCCAGGGGTAATCCCGGTGCAGAGACCGGGGTCAGCCCTGAACATAGCTGGGTGTGTCCCAAACACCAGAAAGAAAAATAAAAAGCCCTTTCTGAAATATTTGCTAGCAGTTAGGTTTCAGAAACAGACTGATAACATCTGTGTATAAGCCAGTATGACAAACTTTAAAAAAACTAAGTGATTGGGGCTGGAGTGATAGCACAGCGGGTAGGGTGTTTGCCTTGTATGCGGCTGACCCGGATTCGATTCCCAGCATCCCATAGGGTCCCCTGAGCACTGCCAGGAGTGATTCCCGAGTTCAAAGCCAGCAGTAACCCCTGATCATCGCCAGGTGTGACCCGAAAAAAGAAAAAAAACTTTAAGTGATCAGAGGCTGAGAAGACATAGGATACAAAAATTCAGCATTAAGTTCTAATAAAAACAAAAGGAAACCCCGGATACACAATTCAGGTCAACCTGCCAAGCAACCTAACTGTTCTTCTCCCTGCAGCCCAGCATTGGCCCCAATCCATTCAAATCACAGCAGTCACCAGGCGGGAATGCGCCCAGCAGGAGCCACTCGAGGCAGCCGGGCCACCTGCCGGCGCAGGGGCACGGGGGGTCCGGCCGCGGCCCGCGCCGGACCCGGAGACCCGTCCCGGGACCCTTCGCCGACGGCCCCCGCAGGGCGGGCGCCCGCGCTGCCCACTGACCACCCAAGCGGCGCTCCTGCTTCTCCCCGAGTCAGACTCCTTTCCCCGATCTGGCCCCGCGATTCTCCGCCGACACCTTGTCAAGTTGTAGCAAGTTCGGGCAGTGAAACATTTTCCCCAGAAAAGTTTCTAGTGGCCTAACCGCAAACCCTGGCCACCCCGACCCGCGGGCCCGCGGAGAGGCGGCGCGAAGCAGCCGGGCCGGCTACAAAGGAGCCGAGGCGCCGCGGGCGGGACCGGAGCCAGCGCGGGTGTGGCCGGGCGCGCGGGGCGCGCGGGCCACGGGACCCACGCGGCCCCCGCCCGCCGCTCCGGCCCGGCAGCGCGGCCCGGGGGTCGGCCCCGGGCGCAGAGCAGGCGCCGCGGCTCCCGCCCGCCCGGCCCGCCCTGCCGGCCGCAAGCGCAGCCCGGAGGCGGCGGCGGGGCCCGGGGCGCGGCCGCAGGACACTCACCGCTCGGCCGCCGATCGACCCACGCCCCGGACCCAGCGAGCCAGCGAGCGAGCACGGCCGGCCCCGCCCAGCGCCGCGCACGTCCGCCCGCCGCGGCCGCGCATGCGCGCGCGCCGCGGGGCCCCGCCCCTGCCCGCGCCTTCCGGGCCCGCGCAGGCGCACGCCCCGCCCCCTGCCTGCGTCTTCCTCGCCCTGCGCGCACGCGCCGCCCCGCCCCGCCCCACCCCGGCCCCCCGCCAGCTCCTTCCTCGCCCGCCCCGCCCCGCCCCGCGCGGGCCCCGCCCCCGCCAGCTCCCTCGTCGCCCGAGCGCACGCGCCGCCCCGCCCCGGCCCCGCCCCCTGCCAGCTCCTTCCTCGCCAGGCGCGCACGCACGGGCCCCGCCCCCTGCCACCTCCTTCCTCGCCCGCGCGCACGCGCCGCCCCGCCCCGCCCCGCCCCGCGCGGGCCCCGCCCCCTGCCAGCTCCTTCCTCGCCCGGCGCGACCCCCGCCGCCCCGCCCCGGCGCCCAGCGCGCAGGCGCAGCGGGCCGCGGCCGGCCGTGCGCAGGCGCCGGGCCCCTCCCACGGCGGTTGGCCATATAGAGGCTGGGGGCGGGGGGGAGGTCAAGCGTAGCCTCTTCTCCTTTACCAAGATGGCGGCTTGCCCCTGTTTCGCCACAGTTCCTACCTTATGAGCTCGGCTCCTGACGCGGAGAAGAGTGGAGCAGGTACGCGAGCCCGCGCCGGGGGCCGCCGCGGCGGGCGGCAAGGACGTCCCCGGAGGCGAGGCCGCTGGCCGCCGACGCGCGCGGGGACGCGGCGGGGGCGCGCGGGGGGCGGCCGGGGCGCGGGCGGCCGCGGCGGGGGCCCGGGCTCTCCTCCGGGAAGATGGCGGCAGCACCGAGCGGGCAGCGCCGGGGCCGGGCTGGGCGGCGAGGGCGAGCGGCCGGCGGGAGCCTCTAGCCGCCGCCGCCGTCGTCTCGGTGGTGCGGGCGCCGAGTCCCGATTGGCTGCGGCGGGTCACGCGGCCGGCGGACCATCGAGTCGGGCGCCGGTGCCCGGGGCCTTTGCCTCCGCGCGCCCGGCCCGGCTGCGCTCGGCGCGGGGTCGGCGCTTCGGGCCCGTTCGGGCCGCGCCGTCCGGGCCCGGGCCCGCCGCGGGCTGGTGGCGGGGGGGTGGGGGCCGGCCCACACCTGGACCGGCGCGACGGCCCCAGAGCCGGACTCCCGAGTCGTGTCAGGTGAAAGCTGTCGCTCACCTTTCACGCCGGCCGGAGGTTCCCGCAGGCGGTGCCCGGGGGGCTCGGGGCGGACCGCGGGGCTGCGGCGCCCCCACCCCCACTGCGGGGTCCGCGCCGGCCGGAGTGCCCCTGGGACGGCAGCCCGCCGGCCGGCCTCGGGGCCCGGGTGCAGGGCGCGCTCCCCTGGGGATCTTGGGGCCCGGGGTCCCCGTGCAGGGCGCGCTCCGGGCGGAAGGGCCCCCGGGAGGGATGCACCAGCAGGTCCGAGCGCGGCCAGTGGCGCGCGGGCAGGGTTCGCGGGGGGACAGGAGGAGGCGGGCACGGGCTCCGAAGGTCCGATCTTGAACTTGGTCTAAGCACGAACTAGTCCCTCCGGGTGGAGTCGGCAGAAGTATAGCGTCTCTTTGCTCAGACCGTTCGCTTTAGAAGTCTTGCAGGGCCACGCCGCGGTGCAGCGGGTCGGTCCTTGGCCTTTCCCTCGACTGGCCAGGCTCTCGTCCCCGAGCGCAGAGCTCGGAGTAAGCCCAGAGCACTCCAGGGGGAGGCCCCCTCAAAAATTTGTAAAGTATTTCGGAACGGGAGTTTCAAAAGTTAGTTTTAAAATGCCGGGTTGCCGGGGCTGGACAGAGAGCACAGCAGGGAGAGTGTTGCCTTGCGTGTGGCAGCCTGGGTTGGATCTCTGGCATCTCATATGGTTCCCCTAGCAGAGTGATCACTGAGCCAGGTGTAACCCCTGAGCACCACTGGGTGTGCCCCTTCCCCCCAAAAAAAGATGCACCTCCTACAGCTGCCGCAGGTGTTGGAGACAGCCCACTGTTGCAGGGAGGAAGTCGGGTGCCCTGGCTGGATGCTGTGTGGGCAGAGGATGAGGCTTGGGGGCCTCTGAGGGTGCGTGATGGAAGCTGGCGGAGGGCCTGTCGGGCGGACTTCCTGCCCTTCTGCCTGTGGAAGACACTCCGGCTCCAACACCCTCTCAGATGACCTCCCTGTCCCCTGGATAGCTTGTCATCTTGAGTCACAGTGGCTCACATGTTCTCCAGTATTACTTCCCAGCTGGGTTTACCCTGAAAGGGTCTGCGGGGCGAGCCATCCTTCCGGTTTTCTCCCTCAAAGATTAAGTGACTTACACTCATGGAAGAAATAGTCCAGCTGTTTTTCTTTTCTTTTAAAATAATTCCTAAAGCCAAACATTTTATTTTTTTAAATTTTTTTTTTTTAATTTTTATGCTCTTTGGGTCACACCCGGCGATGCACAGGGGTTACTCCTGGCTCTGCACTCAGGAATTACCCCTGGCAGTGCTCGGATATGGGATGCTGGGAATTGAACCTGGGTAGGCCACGTGCAAGGCAAACGCCCTACCCACTTGTGCTGTCGCTCCAGCCCCAAGTCAAACATTTTAGAAGCCATATCCCTGGCAGGCTTCTGTCTACCCAGCCTGCAGAGCTCCTCAGATCCTGGTAAAATGAGACCCCGGCTTGTTAATCCCTCACGTTAATTTGCCAGCTAGCCGGTGGGTAACATGCGTGTGCTCCCGTGGGCTTCTTCATTGACCTTCACGTGAACTTCTTAAGTGAGAAATGCATCTTGCTACGTTTTCATGTGGTTGGGCAGAGGTGCTAGCACTAATTCCTGGCGGTGCTCTCAGGACCAGATGCAGTGCTGGAACTGAGACATGGTCGACCTGTGCGGTGCAGGTGCCTTACCCCTGTGCTGTTGTTCCCGTGTCTTCGCGGGTTTTTGTTTGTTTGGGGGTCACACCCAGTGATGCGCCTAGGTTGCTCGGGGGACCATATGGGATGCTGGAGATTTAACCCCGGTCAGCTGCTGCATGCTAGGCAAATGCCCTCCCTGCTGTTGCTCTGACTGTGGGGTCTTTTTTTCTTCTAAGTTTAAGTTGAAAAGACTCTTGAATACTTTCCTCTCTGTAGCGCACTCACCTTTGCCTTCGGTTGATTATCTTGTTTTCCCTAAGGTTACTTGGAGTCTTGCTTGATTTTCACTTAGTTTTCTGTGTATTTGTCATTAAAATTCAACCCTAACTCACCAATCATCTGTGGGATGTCTCTGTTAAAGAAACGCAGCTCTGGGCCTAGCAGTGTGCGGTAGTGGGTGTAGGGTGCTTGCCGTGTCCGTGTTCTTGGCCAGCCCAGGCTCTGAGCTCTGCCAGGAGTCAGCCATGAGCACCAAGGGTGGCCCAAAAACAAAAATATGTTTTTAAAGAAGTGCCATCCTTTTCCATCTGAGGTCTGAGACTCACGCTCGCTCCGACTCCCTGCGTCACCTTCCCTGAGATCTCACCGCTCTTTGTTTCTGCCGGGGCCCACACCGAAGCTGTGCTGGGGGCTTGCTCCAGCTCCTAAGGGTCTCTGGGGACCCTGGTGTGCCTGGGGTGGAACTGGGCATGCTCGGTCACTCAGCCAGGGACTGGTACTCCGCCCTTCCCCGCACCTGCTGCCCTGGGGCCTGGGGACTTGGGGTGTCTTGTTTGTTTGTTTCAGTTCTGTGCTGCACCCAGCAGTGCCTAGGGTTTGCTCCTGGCTCTGTGCTCAGGAGTCGGTCCTGGCAGGGCTCTGGGGTCTGCCAGCACCTTGCCCACTTTGGGGGCTTGGGGTTTTTTTTTGCCACACCCATGAGTACTGGGTGATGTTCCAGGCTCTGCGTGAGTCCCTGCAGCAGGACGTTGGGGGTCAGGCTCCTTCCCCGTGTCTGTCTGCCTGCCTCTTTCCTTTCTTGTTTTTTGATATTTGGTTGTGGTTGTTTTCTTGTTTTGTGCCACACCAGTGGTGTTCAGGGCTTCCTCCTGGCTCTGCTCTCCAGATCGCTCTGATGGACGTGGGGCCGTCTGGGGCCAGGATGGGGCCGGGACAGCCACGTGCAAGCAGGTGCCCTGCCCGCTGCACTGTCTCCAGCCCTCCTGGTTTTCTCTTAATCTGGATGGAGTTGAAGTTTTGCCGAACATGAGTGACGGCTTCACGAGACCCGGATGCGGGTTTTCTCCTCAGATTGCAGCGGGTGTGGGGAGACCTGAAGCCATTCTGATTCCTGATCCCCTTGAAGTCCAAATTTCCTTCTTTGACGCTTGGGAGATTGTCCATGGGTGAAATTCAAAGCGTTCAGTAGAGAGGTGTCCCTGGAGTGTGTTTTCAAACACCGTCTTTGCCTGTGCTCAGGGCGGGAGACCTCTTCCTGCTCGACTTTTTTTCCTCGACAGTTTTAGTCCCACTCACTTTCTGCAATCCAGCTTGGGACCTTCTGAATTGACACCAACTTTCTCTATGGAAAACTCAGTTTCATCTTCCAACCCTTCTTTAGTTTTTCTAAGAGTGTTCACTCTCGTTTCTCTTTGTAAACTTCCTTCTTGTTTCCTGGCTAAGTGTCTTGTAACTCTGAAGATGGGCAAAGTTTCCCAGCAGTCGCCATTGGCTTCATGCTTCTGTTTTGTCTGGGGCGGGGGGATATGACGTGTAAATCGGACCCCTCTGGGCTGCTGGCAGTGTCTTCTGTGTCTGCTCCGGGACGGGGTGTGTGCCACGGGCCCGTCCCATCAGCTGCATGGCTCTAGAAAACCCTTCAGCCTCTGCCCGGGGCCTGCGAGTGGACAGGCCCTTCCTCCACCGGCTCCTCATTCCTTTACCTGAGTGCACTAAGGCAACGTTATTTTTAGCTTACAGCTTGAATTTCATTTAAATTCCTGGCTACCCCTGCGCTTGCCTTCGTTTGCAGTCACACTGAAGGAGACTGTTCTGTCTTAATCTTGTGTTAGAACGCCCTGGTGGAAAATCAGAGGTTGATAGGGATTGATAGGAGTGATAGATAGTACAGCGGGGAGGGCACTTGCCTTGCACGCGGCCGACCGGCCGACCGGGTTCCATCCCTGGTATCTCATTCTGTCCCCCAGCCCTGCCGGGAGTCAGTAATCCTAGAGCATTGCTGGGTGTGACCCAAAACAAACAACATCAACAACAAATTAGAGGCTGTTGGTCTTCGGAGCCAAGAAATTCAAAGATTTCCATCTCACTGGTGATAAGAAAATACTTTTCCTAACAGATGAGAAACGTTAGCTTATGACCATTTTCATTCTTAGGGGTGGGGGGAGTATGCCGGGAGGTCGGGAGTGTTGGTGGCTTGGCGCCCTGGGAGGGCACCTTTGCCTTCCCACTGCGTTCCTAGGGGTCTGCCCTGTGGGGCTGCAGGCTACGGGGCAGAGGTCGTTCTTGGGGCTGCTTGTACTGGAAGCCATCGCGATGGATTTATTACGTTAATGCATATGCCATTTAATGGTAGTTGTTTACAAATGAGGTAAATTTATGTCTAAAGCCTGGAAAGACAGCCACGATGCATTTTTTAAAGGGAAACGGTATAGCAAGTGGTGAGACAAGGAGTGTTATGTGATCTGATTTTTATTAAATTATGTCTTAATAAAACCAAGGAAAAATCTTCCCTAAAACAATAATTTCGGGGCTAATTGCTTGAGGACAAACCACTCGGGGTTATTAATTCTTACAATGTTGTAGTTGTGTTTTAAAATACTTTGTTAAGAATCACATTCCTGGAACTGGAGAGATAGCACAGCAGGTAGGGCGTTTGCCTTGCACGCGCCGACCCAGGTTCGATTCCCAGCATCCCATATCGTCCCCTGAGCACCGCCCAGAGTAACTCCTGAGTGCAGAGCCAGGAGTAACCCCTGTGCATTGCCAGATG